TGTGAGTGTTTATGTGTGTAAGTGTACATGAGTGTGTGTGTGAGTGTGTGTGTGTGTGTGTGTGTGTGTGTGTGTGTGTGTGTGTGTGCAGCTGTTGTGCTGGTCTCCTCTGTGTTGATAAACTCTCCGTCAGACTCAGTGGAATGTGAAAGTGAAAGCTCTGCAGAAACACTTCAGCATCATTATTCACATCTGATCTGTGTGTTCAGACACAGTGAGTTCACACACACACACACACACACACACACACACACACACACTAGTGTACTGTATATCTACACACATTTACAGTCATGCCTAACACTGAACAAACACACTATAAGAGAAATGGCCGCTCCGTCTGTGAAGGGTCTCTGACTCGCTCTGCAGGTGTGTTGCTCTGAGTCTCTGGGAAGAGGTTTGTGTCCTGTATTGTTGGAGTGTATGATGGTGATGAATAATGTTCTCCTCAGTGTGAAAGCAGCAGCAGCAGCACACTCATATGAGTTCAAGCTTATTGTTCAGCTCAGTGATGTTACTGAACCCTCGGGTGAGCATTACATTACACACACATCATGTCTGATTCCAGAGGTGGACAGTGGCGTAGCGCAAAATGCGGAGGCCCCCCTGCAGGGATCGCTGACGGGGGCCCCTGATGAAGGGGGGGGGTACGTCATACGTCAATTTGCATATCACTGACGTCATCACGTTCTACCGTTTCTGTTTAACAGCCTATGGTTAATAAAGGGGTATTTATAATTGCACTACACTTTATATAAGCATGTTTATTTAACTAAAATTTTTTTGCTGTTTGAATACAGTATATCATTATAGATGTGTAACGTTAGTGAATGTGCAGTAATCTCTCATATAAAATAAACTCAGACAAGTTCAGAAACTGTCACTAAAATATCTGTGATTGTGAACAAGAAAAGAATAAACGGTCCAAATAAATTGTTAAAATAAAGTAGAATTAGATCGGTTTGACTGTACAAGCGAAATACCTTCACACTGCCTGTGCTAAATCATTTGTCGTCGGTACGCAGAGGGGTGATCTGCTCTCGGGCTGCAGGTGGGAGAGGCTGCTGTAGAGGACTGACTGGGCCGCCTGTCAGTGCTGTGAGGCGGGGGAGGGGCCGGCGGCATCACACGCAGCTCGTTGAGAAGAGTAGGGACGGTACAGTATGGACAAATGACAGTCTAAAAATCTCCAATAACACACAAAAAGTCGCTAGATTTGTCGCTAGGGGTGTCTGAAAAGTCGCCAAATATTGTGACAAAGTCGCTAAGTTGGCAACATTGGCTGCAAGCAATCAGAATGAAGTAGTCCACCGCTTGAGAGGTGTTCAGAGAACACAGACGTGTGAACTTTGGTTCCGACCACAGTTGTTCCCAACAGTTTATTGAAAATCACGACGACGCGGGGCCCCCTAATCACGCGGGGCCCCCCCGCGGTGCGTGCCCTGCGGGCCCGTCCGCTACGCCACTGGAGGTGGATGTGTTTGCTCGGTCTGAGGCTTCAGAGAGAACTCTATTAAAGGTCTGAGAGATGAACTCCTCGGAGGAATCCTCCTGCATGAATCTCCCAGATGTTGACGATGGGCTCCTGGCAGAGATGCGGACTCAGATCATTGCCTTCAGATTCTCGTTCTCACCACCCATTGGCAGACAGAGAGAAGAAGATGTCATTTGCATGGAACTCTTGACATTCCCGTCCTCAGATCGCGTTATGAAAACACACACCAGTTCAGTGGAGGGTTACGCCTCGCGTGCTGCTGGCCAACAAGATCATTTACAGAGCAACGCTGAGCCCAAACATTCCCGAGCAGAGGCTAGTTAGGACACAAACAGGCTGATGTGGGCCTGCGGTTTGCTCCGTGTGTGTGTGTGTGTGTGTGTGTGTTTCAGAGACCCACAGGACGTCCCTGCTCCACCGCTGTTAAATCACTCAGGCCTGCGCAGTATCAGCATGTCTGACTGTTAACACTTACATCACTGCTTATAAACAAGCTGCGGCCAGTGTTCCCTAACAATGAAGACTCATATACATCTGCTGGACTGCACACTACAGCTTATACAGTCAGCTCCTTAGTCCACTCAGCCAATCACAGCATCTGTTAATCCTCTGGTTAGTCTAGTTATTAGCTGGTTAGTCCATTTAACCAGTCTCATCATCTGTTGATCTGTTGGTTACTCTAATTATCCTCTGATTAATCCAGTTATCATCTGGTTTGTCCAATTATCCTCCAGTTAGTCCAATTATCCTCCGGTTAGTCCAGTTATCTCCTGGTTAGTCCAGTTATCTGGTGGTTAGTTTAGTTATCCTGTGTTTAGTCCAGTTATCCTCTGGTTTGTCCAGTTATCTCCAGTTATCTGCTGGTTACTCCAGTTATCCGCTGGTTAGTCCAGTTATCTGCTGGTTAGTCCAGTTGCCCTCTGGTTTGTCCAGTTATCTCCAGTTATCTCCTGGTTACTCCAGTTATCTGCTGGTTACTCCAGTTATCCTCTGGTTACTCCAGTT